ATAGAAACATTAATTAAAAAGGACACGTGTCATTCATTTATATATTATTGTAGAAAGTGGTATAAGAAAGTGGGTCAAGTGATCCTTAATCCTGATCCTTAATTCATCGAGTTTACTTACGTGGAAGTGACAAAAATGCCTTTGAAAATAAATAATTTAGGAAAAGTCTTTTGGATGATTTTTTTTTTATTTGTTTCAAGTTGGAAATGTTTGGAGTCTAGGACAATTAAATAACAAAAAAAATACTCATTCATGTGAAAAATGTCATATTGATTTTTTTTTTCTTATGAGTACGGTCTTTTATTTTTAAAGCCATTTTAAATTTATATAAAACAAAAAACAGAAACTTATTCTTTTTTCTTTTCGTTCTTATTGTTTTGGGGAAAAAAACTTTGGTATAGTGACGGCGAATTAGCAAAAATATTGCCTCAAAAAAGAAAAGAAAAAAGAAAAGAAAAGGGAAGTGAACTGAAATTAAGAAGCTAAAATGCGTTACCTATTTTAATGAAGAGCATCAATCGTTACCAACCGGGCTGTGTTTTGCTAGGCCGAAAAATGCCACTGGGCCCAAATATATATATATAATCACGAGATAGTTTGTGTGAATCTTTTGTTGGTTAAACATAAACTAGTATTACAAACTAATAACTCTAAATTGGTGCATCAGACTAATTCCCATTAAATCAACCCGACACAACAATGTGCATGGCTTGAAAAAGTAAAATTGGGTTCATACGATTCTAAAACAAATTTAATTATAAATATCGTGGCTTACTTTAAACAAAGGGGAGGAACAAAAAATCTAAACTAGATCTTCTATCCAATGAATACCCGCGGCGTGGTGTTTTATTATGAACGAATTTCCCACGTAATTTATTTGCATTTGGTTTATTTTCCACATTTTGTGGTGTTCTCATCTTTTTTCTTTTTCCAAGTCAAGATTTACTGTTGGGAAATTAATCAAAAGACAGCTGTAATCACAAACTTAAATTATGCAATTTCTCACTCAAGTTATAACTAAAGTTGTCCAAAGAAATAGTTTATATTAAGTTTTTAGATTAGGACTGTTTTTAATACAAGTTTCGAATTTCAATATGAACTATGTTTTGGACAAAAGGATTATTTGCAAACAGATAAACTATTATGTGTTCTCCAAAAACAGAAGGAAGCCTGATCTGTAATCTTCCAATTATGTGATTTAAATATGAAGTTCCAAATTGTATATATTACATCATTTTCGGCAAAATTGTTCACTTAATTGAAATGAAAGAATTTTTAAAAATATTTCGTTATGATTGGTTATCAACTGTAGGAGAGGAATAAAAAATTCTCGAAATCTCTTTTTTTTTTCTTCTTGAAAATCTCATATAAAGCGACAACAAAACTGGGAAAAAAAAAATTAAAACACATATTGGAGATCGGAGATGAAATTTTGAGAGACATGTCTGAAAGTTTGATGACTCAACCAACATATATAACATCCAACCTCACTTTAATTAATTAATCTTTTCAGTTTGTTGATAATTAAATAAGCTTTTGTTGCATAGTTTAATTCTTGGCGCTGAAAGAGCAAAAAAAAAAGATTACGAAATAAAGACCAAATTTTAACCACCAAAACATATATACTGAGGTGGCCTCTGGCATTGAGTTCTTTTTATTCCAAATATATTTTTATTAAAAATCTTCAAAATTGTCCTCAAAACAAATAGTATTTGTAACCAACATTTGCATTAATGGGGTAGAATGAGGGTATTATATGCAGTAATTAACTATTTTATTTAAGTGTTTTTCTTAAAAAAAAATTATAAGTTTCATCCAAACAAAAGGGGGCTTTCTTTAGCCTTTTTAGGATCGAAATTAAATTGGCAATCATGATTGGTTTCTTTGGAGGATAGAGAGGTTACTTTGTAGGTTCATATAGAAGTTTGCAGTTTATCTCGTAAAAATAATATTTTGTAAAACTAAACATGATCAAATTGTGGAAAAAATGGTCGTTCCTACTTAAAGTTTTGCCCTCGTCGTCAATCATACCCAATAGATTTTTGGTTAGCCAACTTTACCCTAATGTTTGAAATTTTCGTCAATTTCGTCCAATCGGCCCATTATCCGTCCAAATTAACGGATCTCTGTTAGTTTTTTAATAAAATAATAAATTTAAATACAAAAACTCCCCAGTACTTTTTAAAATTTTAAAAATAATAAAATAATCCCTTTTCACTTTTTTTTTTTATTTTTCTCTATTTTGTTTCATTTCTCTTAACTACTTTTAATGACCATAAAAGTATATTATATGAGTTTTTAAAGAATATTTATTTATTTTCAAACTCTACCATAAAAATTAATGTTTGTATAGTTGTAACAAATGATTTGATTTATATAAGCATGTTAATATTTTTAATAATATAGTTTAGAAATAAAGACATTATTTTTTGATTTATTTTATTCTTCCTAATATAAAGATTAAAAACATTTAAATGAAACTAATATTCCACATAAAAATAAAATATTAGCTCAAATAAAGAATAATATATTAGTATAGTTTAGCGTATTACAATTTAACTAGAGAGACTACATGGCATAATATAATTTATTAAAAGATGTGTATACTTATCAATGCGAGGATTTATCATTTTGTAACAATTATTTGGGATATTAATATATCTAACTACAGAGGAAGTCTTACTAGCTTATTTTATATGATTTTAGTTTAAAATAAATGAATGGAGGTAACAATATGGAAAAAAAGTTGTTGTGATAGAAAATATATTTTAGATTCAAGAAGGAAAACTTATGTTTGGAGGATTTTTTTAAGATTTTAATTATTTTATATTTTATTTATTTTTCATGAATTATTTTAATGCAAATTATAGTCTCTTGAGTTAAATTGTAATACACTAAACTACGCTAATTTTATTTTTATTTGAGCTAATATTTTATTTTTATGTAGAATATTAGTTTCATTTAAATGTTTTTAATCTTTATGTTAGGAAGAATAAAATAAGTCTGAAAAATAGTGTCTTTATTACTAAACTATATCATTAAAAAGATTAACATGCTTATATAAATGCAATCATGTGTTACAACTATACGAAAATTAATTTTTACGACAGAGTTTGAAAATAAATAATTTTTTTAAAACTCATATATACTTTTATGGTCATTAAAAGTAGTTAAGAGAAATGGAACAAAATAGAGAAAAATAAAATAAACAAAGTGAAAAGGGACTGCTTTGTAGAAATGACACTATTCAGATCTTCCACGAAAATTCCCATTAAATATCCACGAAGTGTAGAAAAATCAGATCTTTTACATTATTAATAGCAATAACATCCAAAAATACTCGATAGAAACCCATCCAAATGCAAAAATTCAGACTTGAAAATATCATAACCACTACATAAACCTTACACACAGATTAAAACTTACATTAAAAAAATTCCATTACAAGTACTCCTTCAAAAGCATCCGTAGCTCTCCACATTAAAACTGTTACATATGATCAAAGGACATCTTCCCAATCATAATGGAAATAAACTTAGTCATCAAAAATCCAAACTGTCTAAAATCATACATGCTATCTTTCTCTAAGAGAAAAGAATCCAATGTAATTATAAGAAACCAACCAAAACCAACATCATGTAACTACTAACATCATGGCAATACAACAGAGAAATAGAATTAAATCAGTAAATACATCCCAAAAAACTGCACTGGTCTCCCTTGCATTTTGTAACTATAGCATTAATCTTTCCCCGAAAAAATTGCAAAATAAAGGAGACTTTCATTATTTTATTTCACTATGATCTAATTCATATGCTCAAAACCTAAAGTTGTCCTTTGATACATCTATATGCAATTTACATTATTTCGCAGAAATTATTTTCTCCAGAAGAAATACAATAAAAAATTACAAAAAAGATAGTTCAGTAGGGAGCATAGCCTTAGAGAAAATAGGGGTTTAGCCACAAAGTTGTTCCAAAATATCAAAAGCCTGTAAAAAGGAAAAGCTTAATATTTTTTTCCCCAAGATTTCATTGAACCAACTTAGTGGCCAGAACAAAATGCTCCACAAAAAGAAAAAAAAATTACTGAAAATTATAAACATGATGCGGCGGATGTACCTTAACAGCTCTGATTAGTTGATCTCCGCTCTCTCCGACAGAATTATTTAGAACCGACTCTGTATCTTGATCTCTCATTGAGTTACCCAATTTTTTTTTCGAACGCATGTTTCATAATAACAAATGAACTGATCAAACATCAAATTCGCCCTTACAATCCTACGGTTGAAAGAGAACCTATACGATCCAAAGAAAAGAAGTGGCGGTGGAGGGGGAAAAACAAAAAAAAAAAAAGAAAAAGGAGGAACATAATTAGCAACTGTCTTATCTTTTATTTAGCCGCCGCTTTGAACTTTAGGATCATCATCAGATCAGGCGTAAGGAAGAGGAATTGAGGAGATTTGACAATAATTCTGTTTCATCAAATCTGAAACATAAATGTAAGGAAGCGGAATGGTGGAGAGCATTTGAAATCTCTTAAAACATAGTTTTAATTTTTAAACTAATGGTACTATTAATCAGCACCGATATGCAATTAGACCTGGAAAAGGGGGAGTTTTCCGGACTATATGGGAGCATATATGTATTTATTTATCTCGCTCCTTAAGAAACCACGTGGTAGAAATCATTTTGTGCTGAAAATGGCCTATGGTGGGAAAATATTAAACGTGGAACAGACACTTGCCCATCTTGGGAATTTGGCCCTTTTATTAAAGCTGGGATTTGGAAAGAAGAAGATTAAGAAATTCAAGGGAATGGGGGATTGGAGGGGAGCAAAAAGAGGATCGGGAATTATGCAAAAAAGACAGAGAATGGTAGTGTTGAGGGTAAAAGTAATGGTGGAGTGTCGCCTCTAGAAAGGAGGTTTAAGGTTGATATAACTGGGACGAAGGAGCATGGGCTAGACATAGGGAAGGGAGTAGTGTAGAGATTGATAAAATGGGACCGGGGGATTCTTTAGTGAAACATAAAGAGAAAGACACTGTAACAGGGGAGGGGAGTGGAGCTATGAGGTGGACTGGTGTGGTAAGGACAGGCCTGGTGCTGGAGGATGCAGGGCAAATCTCATCAGGAGGTGGGGAGGGTAATAGAGGAGATAGATTGGAGGTGCCTCAGGGTACCACGTTGGCTAGTATGTTGGAACAGGTTCGAAACTCAGGGGTAGTTCCAATTAGAGCGGGAGGACTAGGTTTGATGGGAGATGATGTGGACATGAAAATCAATGAAGCATGGGAGCAGGCGTTTGATGAAGAGTTTACAGAAGAAAAAAGAGAGGAAGGGGAGCGAAGAGAGCGTTGGGGGATATAAAAAATAGATAGCAGGGTGATAACTATAGTGGTACTGGGGGAAAGTAGTAGTAAGAAAGGCCAATGGAAAAAAAGAGCAAGAATGGTTCAGGGAGAAAAGTGTGATAAAAGAAAAGGGAAAGAAATTGTGATGAAAGAGCTGATGGGGAAAAGAAGCAGAGAAGCTGGTATGGATATAGAGGGCTAGCTGACCGGTGGTCTGAAAAAAAAGAAGTCTAGATGTGAGAATGAAGGGAAAGAGAACACATTTGAGAAAGGAGAACTTACAGTGGGTCGAAAGGTGAATGAGGTGGAGGAAGCCAGCTTAGAGTGGCCCCGTAGTTTCCAATGAGAGCCATACTGTGGAACTGTAGAGGACTGGGAAGCTCTTCTACAGTTTCACACCTGAAAGAGTCGTGTCGACTCTATAAACCAAATATTGTATTTCTGACTGAGACGAAGAAGAAGTGTGGCTTTGTGAAGATAGTTGGGAAAACGTTAGGTTTTGGCAATAGGTGGTGTGTTGTGGATCTAGTGGGTGGAAACGGAGGAATGGTCTTGGGTTGGAGTGGGGAGGTGTAAGTGTTTAAAGTTAATATTACCTTATGTAGTATAGAAGTGTAGTTTGAAATGAGAGAGACGAATGGTAGGATTTGGGGTGTCTTTATTTATGCTAGGATTGAAGCTAGTGAGAGAATACAACAATGGACTAAGTTAAGGGGTGAAATGGGGGTGGGGGGATAAGTGGTTCATGGGGAGGGGGGTAACCTTCAATGATATAAGGGAAGGGAAGGAAAAAGAAGGGGGGAGAGGGAGGACAGAAAGAAGTTGTGCAGGGTTTCGGGACATTATAAGTAGTATGCAGATGGTGGAAATTGAAATTAGGGGTAAGTTGTGGACTGGGGCTAATAATAGAGATGGAGAAGGTTATATAGAGGAGAGGTTAGATAGAATATTTGGTTCGGGGGACTGGTTGCTGGAGAACGAGAATGCAGTGGTAAATCATGTGGAGAAACATTCGTCAGATCACAGTATGTTGGTTTTGGACACAGACCCAAATCAACAAAGGAGGCAGCAGAGATTTTTTCTTGACAAGAGATGGGTTGAAAGAGCTAGTATTGAAGATGTTGTTAAAATGGTGTGGGAAAAGGAATGTGAAGGGTCCCCGATGCACAGGCTCTCTGAAAAAATAAAAAAGTGTAGGCTAAAAATCTTAAAGTGGAATAGAAGCCATGTTGTCAATGCTAAAAAAGAGATTGAAAGGATCACAGCTGAGATGGATTATATGAAAAATCTGGGGGGTGGTAGAGACTGGGGAGGTGGAGGGAGTTGAAAAATAGGCTGGATAAGGCATATGCTGATGAGGAAGCTTTCTGGACGCAAAAAAGCAAAAACTCATGGTTGAAAGAAGGAGATAAAAATTCGAAATTTTTCCACACCACCACTGTTCAACGGAGAAAGAGGAATGGAATTGAAAGGTTGGAAAGATGGGATGGGTCTTGGTGCGAAACAGAGAAGGAAGTAGAAGGAGAAGCAGAAACATTTTACGAAGAATTATTTAAGTCTGAGGATTTTGGGGGTTGGGAAAATTTGTTGAGTGAGGTCCCTAGCACTATTACAACGTAGATGAATTCAACACTGATACAACCAGTGGAGGATGGAGAGATCAAACAAGTCTTGTTTAGCATTAACCCAACCAAAGCTCCTGGCCTAGACGGTATGACTCCTTTGTTCTTTCAAACTTTTTGGAACATAATCCAGTATGATCTATGTAATGGTATTAAAAGCTTCTTTCGGTCAAATTGTATGCTTAGATCTTTAAACCATACCTTGATTTCATTTATTCCAAGAGTGGATAATCCTAATAGAATATCTCAGTATAGGCCTATTAGTTTGTGCACTATGGTCTACAAGGTGATTTCTAAAATTTTTACAGAAAGATTGAAACCTATTGTTCCTTTTTTGCATTAGTGATAATCAGTCAGCTCTTTTAGCAGGTAGGCAAATACCAGATAATGTGACAATTGCACACGAATACTTACATTTTTTAATAATCTAAGGAATAAAAGAAAAGAAGGGTATGTCGCAATTAAATTAGATATGGCAAAAGCGTATGATAGAGTAAAATGGAGGTTTTTGAATTTTATGCTTATCAAAATGGGTTTTGATTTACAATTTGTTGGCTGGATTTCTTAATGCATCAAAACTGCTACTTTTTCTTTTAACATAAATGGTGAGGCAAGAGGGTATATTAGACCTTCAAGAGGGATAAGACAAGAGGACCCACTGTCCCCTTATTTGTTTTTAATATGTGCCGAAGCTTTTTCCAATCTTATTAAAGGGGCATTAGTTAAAGATGAATTGAGTGGAGTAAAAATCAGTAATTTTGGCCCAGAGATAACGCATTTGTTATTTGTGGATGATACTCTTTTATTTTACAAAGCTGAAAGAAGTCAAATTCAGTGTATAAAAAAAATCCTTGATGATTATGGGATGTGTTTGAGGCAGAAAGTCAATTGGGATAAATCTGCAATGTTTTTTAGCAAAAATGTTCCTGATGTTAAAAGAGATATGATCTGTTCTACTTTGAATGGCATTAATGTACATGTAAAATCCAAATATTTAGGTTTGCATTGGTGATAGGGAGATCCAAAGCAGAGGTGTTCAGGCATGTGGAAGAAGCTGCGATGAAAAGGTATCGGAATTGGAAAAAAAAGGCTGTTGTCACAGGCTGGTAAAGAAATTCTGTTGAAGTCTGTAGTTCAGGCTTTACCAGTATACCCAATGTCATGTTATAATCTGGCTAACAGCGTATGTCAGAGGATTGAGAAAGCTATGGCAGGTTTTTGGTGGGGAGACGGGGAAGAGAAAAAGAAAATTCACTGGGGTTCGTGGGATAAGTTAGCGAAAGATAAGGAAGATGGAGGTTTAGGTTTCAGGAGTATGGTTTCTGTTAATGAAGCTTTGCTGTCCAAGCAAGTGTGGAGGTTGATAACGGAACCTAATTCTCTGCTGGCTAAAGTTATGAAGGGAAAGTACTATCCAGACTGCTCCATTTTTCAGATTCAATAGAAGGGGGGGCGGGGGGGACTCTTGGCTGTGAAAAAGTTGGATGGGGGGAGTGAATCTGAACAAAATGAGAGCCTGACTTGGGTGGCACACCTAAAAAATCCCTTAACGAAGCAATGGATTCCTGAGATGCTACATCAGATTTTGGTACCAGAAGAGGTGGTACTTGTCCAACAAATGCCTCTGAGTAAATATGGGGGACAGGATGTGATGGTGTGGGGAGAAGAAGCAAAGAGCAAAACTGGACAAAAAGAGGATTGAAAAGAGCAAAAGTTAGATGACAGGGCTTGAGGAGACCAGTGATAGTAGGAGAGAAATGAAGCAAGTATGGACAAAAACCTAGCAGCTACCTGTTAAAGCAAAACTTCGACATTTTATATGGCGAATGTATAAAGGCTGGATTCGTGCAAATTCAGTCTTAAAACGGAAAGGTATGGCTGTGGATGAAGTATGTAGGAGATGCGGAGATGCTGAGGAGAATATTGAGCACATCTTATTCTCTTGTAATTTTGCTAAACTGGTTTGGAAACTGTCTCCAGGAAATGGGATGGTTTATAGGAAAAGGAAGGAAGCTTTGCACATCAGTAGAATATGGTGATGAATATTGATAGGGGAAAGGAGATTCAGGCTAGAGTTGAGTTGTCAGTTTACATCTTGTGGCAAGTGTGGAAGGCCAGACACTCTTGGCAGTATAGTGAGCTGAAGGTAGAAGCAATGGAGGTGGTCTAGAGAGCAATAAGAGAGTGGACAGAGTTTTCACAAGCCCAAGAGAAAGAACAACTTAAAGACAAGCTAGTGGGAGAAGGAGGTGAAACACAAGGATGGCAGGCACCAGGTTTGGGAGTGATGAGAGTGAACGTGGGATCTTCAGTTCAGAGTAAAGAGGGTACAGCTGGTTTGGGACTCACAATCAGAGATAAAAAAGGTATGCTAATCGTAGAAAACTCCATTTTTCTTTCTCATACTAGAAACCAGTGTGCTGCTGATAGGAAGCTGTTAGAGCTGCAATGTCTGAAGCCCAATATAGAAGCTTAAAGAAAATAGAAGTCCAATTAGATGATAGACTAAAATGTCCAAAAGGTCCCTTACATATGGGGCTACATGAATTTACGTCCCTAACATTAACATTTCAATATCGTAGTCCCAAATATTATGTTTTCACACTTTTTTGGTCTCATTTTACTGTTTCCGGCCGTTGACATGCCAGAATCAGGGATATGTTTGTCTTTTAATTTAATTTAAATTTTAAAAGTATTTTAAAATTCAAATTTCATTATTTAATTGTTAAAATATTATTTATTAATTAAAAATATTATTATACAATTTTAAAATTTATCATTATTTTTAAAATTACTTTTTTCATTTACTATTTACTTAAAATACACAGTAAATGATAATTATGTTACACTTTTAACTTTGGATACACTGTAACTTAAAAAATTTACCAAGTTACCGTAAATAATTCAAAATTCAATTACTTTTTTTATAAAAAGAAAAAGAAAAAGAAAAACTAATATTTCTTTTACGCTGACCGCTACAGTAAACCTTAAATGGTAATTATGTTACACTTTTAACCTTGGGTTCACTGTAACTTAAAAAATTTTCCGAGTTACAGTAAATAATTCAAAATTCATTTTTTTTAAAAAAAAGAAAAAAATAAAACCAAGATTTTTTTTTTATTTTGACAGCTATAGTAAATCCTAATTGGTAATTATAATACATTTTTAACCTTGAGCTCGTTGTAACTTAAAAAATTTACCGAGTTACAGTAAATAATTCAAAATTCTATTTTTTAAAAAAAAGAAAAAGCAAAACCAAGATTTTTTTTTACTCTGATCGCTATAGTAAATCCTAAATGGTAGTTATGTTTCACATTTAACCTTGGACGCAATGTAACTTAAAACATTTAACGAGTTAAAGTAAATAATTCAAAATTTAATTTTTTGAAAAAAAAAAGAAAAGGAAAACCAAAAATTTTTTTACTCTGACCACTATAGTAAACCCTAAATGGTAATTATGTTGTACTTTTAACCTTGGACTCACTGTAACTTAACAAATTTACCGAGTTACAGTAAATAACTTAAAATTCAATTTTTTTTCCAAGAAAAAAAAAGAAAACCAAGATTTTTTTTACTCTGACGCCTACGTTGCTTTTTTAACCTTGGACCCACTATAACTTAAAAAATTTACCGAGTTACATTAAATAATTCAAAATTTAATTTTTTTAAAAAAAAAGGAAAAAGCAAAACAAAGTAATTAACCGCTATAGTAAACCCTTATGTTGCACTTTTAACGTTGGACCCAATGTAGCTTAAAAAATTTGCTCAGTTACATCAAATAATTCAAAATTCAACTGTAGCGGTCAAAGTAAAAAAAATCTTGGTTTTGCTTTTTCTTTTTTTTAGAAAAAATTGAATTATTTACTGTAACTCAGTAAATTTTTTAAGTTATAGTGGGTCCAAGGTTAAAAGTACAACATAATTACTATTTTGGTTTTACTGTAGCGGTTAGAGTAAAATTTTTTTTGAAGAAATTGAATTTTGATTTATTTACTGTACCTCGGTAAATTTTTTTAATTATAGTGGGCCCAAGGTTAAAAGTTTAAGATAATTACTATTTACTTTGACCTAAGATAAATGATAAATGAAAACTTTAAATTTGAAAATAATGTAAATTTTAAAATTTATAATAATATTTGTAATTAATAAATAATATTTTAACAATTAAATAATGAAATCTGAATTTTAAAATATTTTTGATGATTTAAATTTTAAATTAAATTAAAAAACAAAAATACCCCTGATTTCGACATGTCAACGGCTGAAAACAGTGAAATAGGACCAAAAAAATGTGAAAACATAATGTTTGGGACTACGATATTGAAATGTTAATGTTAGGGACATAAATTAAAGTAGGTCCAAATGTAAAGGACCATTTGGACATTTTACTCAATAAGATTATGGTCGCTTGGTTACAGGGGACCATTTCTCCAGTTTCAGATGTGATTTCCATAATCCAAGCTCTTGGCTAAAATTGTTGTTTCATATTTGTAAAACTTTGTTTATAAAGAAAGTGTGGAATAGTACAAGTCCCAAACTAGCCAATTTTGGCTTAATTAGCAAATGTACACAAAGTTGGGATATGGAAGCCCTTTTTGTGGCTAGTTGAGTCATTTAGGGTAGATTTTGTTTAGCTTTTTTGTAAATGCTTATTACTATTTTCTTTTAGTAATGAAATGATTATCGCTTTGGACAAAAAAAAAAGACACTTGTTTTTCTTGTATGCTACTTTAATTAAGTATTATAGAGTAGAGGCCACAAGCGCGTAGGTCATTGTCAATGGAGGTAATTGTATCACTGTCATTCAAATAAGCTAATGAGCTTAGATGGCTCTCATTTTCTCTTCAAACTCCTAGTAAAGAGTACAAAGACTTAATTTTGATAAAATAATTTCACATGTGCAAAATGGAAGAACAATTTTGTACAAATACTTTGTGAGTTGTGACTAATCACCACCACCTCCATATCATCCGATCGAGAGAGACAATATGACTGTCAACTTGATAATTGAATATCTTCTTATTATATCTAAAACTAATTATTTAATTTATTTCTGCCTCTCTCTTCTCCCTTTTTTAGGGGGCATGAAAAAGCCACAAATCCTATCAAAGCTTGCAGAAACAAACAGTTTTCTGGGGGCAAACCCACCTTTGACCAACGAAAGTGCTGAAAATATTTCTCGCTTTTTTTAACCCTTCAAGTTTTGAGGTAAGCTCGAAATTATGGATTTTCAGTGATTTTATGCATGTTTCTCCAAGTTTGAACTTCTTTTCTTGTACTTTTCCCAAATTTATATGCATTTCGAAGTCCTCTTTCTGGGAAAGTTCAAAGTGTATCTATGGTCGCGGTTTCAACAGATCTACATGGATTTCGATTCGTAGACAGTCAAAATTGTTGAACTGTTTTCGTTCAACAAAATAGACTTTTTCTTTCTTTTTCTGACGGAAAAATTCATTTTAGTCGATTTTGTTTATCATATTATGCATTTGGTCATAATCTTCCTTTTTCTTTTTGCAGGTCATAATCAAAAGCACCTAGAGTCATGGATCCAACATGGTCATTATCATATCCTGTAAGATTGACGTTAATTTTCTTTTCCTTCACTACTTTCATAGTTTCTTATTATAAAAATTGTATTTGTTAATTTATTCCTTTCATCTCATTTTAACTAGGAATTATGGGATGATGATATTTCCATGGTAGTAAGTCCATTCCAGATGAACTCCTCCTCCATTGATGAACAACCTAATAATAATAGTAGTACTAATTTGACCTTCATCAACCCTAATGAGGGAAAATCACCACTTGCATCTTCTCCTCCCCCACCAATGAATTCTTCCCAATTCATTTCCTTTGGGAACTCAGACTCAAAAGCAGCCAACTCCAGCCACCAGTTTGCGGATAACGGGTTCGCGAACCACAGCGCTAAAGTTAAGGAAGAGATCAACCAGATGATTTGTTTTAACAGCATGGATTTATCCCCAAACAGCAACCAATTGTCTTCTTCCGACGAGTTACAGTATTATCAGATTGATCAAGGTGAACCCGTTAAGAAAAGCGTTGGTAGGACGCCGTTACAGGCGAAATATCATGTTATTGCGGAAAGGAAAAGGCGAGAAAAGCTGTCCGGCCGATTCAGGGATCTGGCAGCTATGCTTCCTGGCCTGGAAAAGGTATGTCGTCTTAACGTGTGATTCACACATTTGATGAAGTGGTTTATTTAACTTCATCTTTTTGCTTTCGTCATGCCTTTTCGTTTCTTTTGCGATTTTTCCAACTCTAGAATTGCTAGCAAATTTGGCATGGAGGAAAAATTTCCAGTCACGCTCATTATACTTTTTTTTTTTTCCAATCTAATTTTATGAAATTTGATCAGACATTGAACTGGGGCGGTTTAACCATAGATGCTTGACAAAGGCACTGTTTATTGTCGTAAATATTTTTGGTAGAAGGTGGAAGAAGTGTCTTTGTATGTTTAACTTTAGTTTCCAACACTTCATTTCGCATATTTTCCTCTTTTTTTTTTTTTTTATAATCAATACATATCCTTTAAGTGGAAGATACTATATCAATAACTTCCTTCATGCGTTATATAGAACTGGGATAAAAAAGAGTTATGCTCCTTTATGGAAAGATGACTAATTTTTTGAGATATAGCCCAAAAAATAGAAAAGAGAAAAAAAAAAACCAATAATTGAACTTTAGGGATCTGTCAATCGAGCTAATTAAACAAGATTCTCCATTCGATTTGATTAGTCTGTTTTTGCCTCACTAGTTAGCACTGTTTTTTTTTATTTCCACAATTAGTAAAGTAAACCTACTATCTCTTCAATGTGCTATAAGGAGACATGATTATTACTGCTTTTGTTCATAAATGATTGTCTTGTTTGGATTTATTTTTAACCATCAATTGAACTAAAATTGAAAATCAAAACTTGATAACAATTTTATTAAAAATTTGAAAAGGACAATAATATTGAAACAGAAGAAGTATGTCATTTTGCTTCATAAAACTAGGGTGCCAAAACATCCTCTCATTTTCGAATCTATGACCATATTTCATATAATCACTTTTTATTAGACATTTAAAGGTCTGTATATTATTATTATTCTTGTTAATGTTGATCTAAAACCTAAATTTTAGCTTATTTAGTTAGTAACATCAATACATGGTTATGTATTTATAGAACTTCTTAACACGATAAAATTAGGAAGCCATAAACTTCAACAACCAAGATTAATTAAGTGCACTTAGTCTATACAAAGCACCCCTCTCTTTTTTATAGACTTTGTTGCGTTTTCTTATTTTTAAATATTCGACTTCATTCTTTGTTATGATTAGATTTTGTTGCTAAATTTTTAAATATGACAATAGAACTTCAAATCTCATTAATACCTTCAAAATTTTAATTGCATATCTAGTTGGACAAGTCATCTATCATTGAAGGCGCAATAAATCGGTTGAAAGAACTCGAAAAGCGCCTTCAAGATCTCGGGGAGATGACAAAGAGAATGAAGGATGATGAACAGGAAGAATCAGCACTAAACCCTCGTGTGTATTATCATTATGAAGAAGATTATCCCCTTTTGAGAAAGATGGTAATCAGAATCTCAAATTTCGACGTATCGATCGATGTCAACTGCAAAAGCAAAACTGGATTAAGGGAAGAGGAGTTCGTTTGCGAAATGGAGAAGCTTGATTTGAATTTCACAAACAGAAAGTTTACAACTTTTGGTGACAATATGCTTTGTGTTTCCGCAGCAGCCCAGGTAGGACGATTCGATCTGCCAGCATTTTAATCCAAAAACATTTCCATACAGTACTTTCCGTATACTTAAGTATCCATATCAAACACAGAGAAGATAGAATTTACTTCTTTTTTTTTCAAAAAAAAAAAAAAACACTAGGAAAGCTTGCTCACAATGGATCATTTCCTTAACTTGTAGATGAACGAGAGGTTCTGTAGGAGAGAAGAAAAACTTGCAAAAAGCATACGCCGCGCAGTCTTGAAGATGATTGTCAGAATAGAGAACACATATGGTCAACATTCTGATTTCTGGTGAAAACTAGTATTGCACAAGATGCGGGCAACTTCAGAAAATAATGTAGTGAAATGAAATTATATTATTAGATTACTTTTTATCTTTGTTTTGATTTTTCATAGATATACACCAATAAGTGGTTCATTCCTTCCATCGTACACTTAATTCAACAAATTAATTGAACTATTCTTTGCAAGAGGAGTGATATTAACTTCCTTGATATCAAGGTGTGGTGAAGAAATAATTGGCAGAAAATAGCATTGAATTGTGAAGAACTATTTACATTGAATTTGATTTTTTTAAAAAAAAACTTTTGATCCTATATTATTGATCCACATTAAAAAAATATCAAAACTTTGAAAATATGATTATGAAGAATGGGCATTGTTTTTTTAATTATTTGCTACATCACGTGTAACTTTTTTCTTTTCCATTTAGGCTAAAAATAGCAGTAAAGTTCTTTTTAAAAGGTCAATTTCATAAATTAACATATAAGAGTAACACTAAACTTTACACCAGTTTTGGTGCAAAAAATAGAATATCCCAAACATATTTTTGTGACAAATATGTTTGCACTCCAACCTTGATCCATCAAATTTGAAAGTGTTTTAATTTGAATTTAATTTTTGTAGTTAAAATCTTACAGTTTGATAACAATTTTGTCCATTTTAATGCGAAAATGATTTTCTCTGATGCAGAAGTATCAATATATATATATATATATTATTTTGTTGCATATCCAATTTTAATGACGAAAAAAATAGTTTTTAAAAAATAAATAAATAGTATAGCCAATATGGATAATATTTTAAAATTCTCAATAATATTTTTAATATGATGTAATTTTCATAACATACTTCATTTTATAATTTAACTATCATAAAAAAAATGTATCTAGATAAATTAAATTGAAAAAATAGCACACAAAGATGGTGCATACTGAATTTGGTATTTTGATTTGGTAGTTTTGTTAAAGTGCTAATTCTAAACCTAAATACCAAATTTAGAGTTAGGGTTGCTCTTAATAATTTTATGTACACAACACTTCCTTCAGTCTATATCAAGTCTACAAAAGACCAATTTAACATAAATGAGATCTAACCAATATCTTCTGTTAACTACCAAATATGAGATATTCTACGAAAATCATATTATTGTACGAATGGAAGATCTTGGAACTATTTGAGACGTTTTAAATTTAAGCATATTTAACCTTCAAGTGTACGATACAACATGACGAACAACATTCGACTCATCCGCTAGACCATAAATAATGGCTTTGAAAAATTAAATCAATGCGCACTTTTCATCAGACATACAAAGTTGCTGCACACCAAAAAGCTTTATATATATATATATATATATATATATATATATTATATATATATATTATATATATATATATATAGTTAAATCAATGCGCACTTTTCGCTAGATTCATATTTTACTAGCTCGTAGTTATTTTTTTTCAAGTCATTATTAATTATGATATTGACGGGATCTATATTTATATAGGATTTTTTAAAGAAATTATTATCTTATTATTTTATTGATTGTCTTTGTTTTTTGTACTAGTCCTGACTTGGGACTGGAGAAAACTATTAATTTATCAATGTTATTAATTTATCGATATTTTAATATATGTATATATATATATATATATCTAAAGTGAAAATTAAAATATATTCCTTTTTGAAGATGATGATGCATGATGTCATGATGGCTAGACAGCAAGAGTATGCCAAGAAGTTGGAAGTTTCCATCCACTAAAATCTCATCTGTCTGCCACAGTTGGTTGGCAAAGTGTACTCCTACATACCAAAAAAAATACTCCATCTATCTCATAATTATCGTCCAGTTTGAATTTTTATTTTTAGTTCAAATTTTACTAAAATGAAATCTCAAAATAGACTATAATTTTGGAACAGAGGGAGTAGCTTACAGTACAACTTTTAATTTGCATTGTTTTAATATAATTTACAAATTAAACTATCCTCCCGACAATTATACACCTGCTAATGCAATGTCCACCCCCGCCTCATATTGTGCCGGATGGGTTGCTTCATCGTTGTCACGGGCGGGATGAATAACGTTGGCACTGTCTGTGTATGGATGCTATTTTTATGAGACGAAAAAAGGTATAAAAAATATTGTGAGAAGTTCGATTATGCACATCCACGTTCGTACTTCTCCAGTTTCAGCAGTTGACAACGGAAATTGAGTAACACTCCGACAGGTCCTGAATTTATAAATGAGTCGTTCTATAATCATTTCTTTTAATCAAAAGGTAAATTATATTGCACCAAAAAACCTTTACAATATGTACAACCCTATTGCATCTATATATTACAAACTTGAAAGTTTAATTGGTATACCTATACTTTGAAAAACTCAGCTTCACTCTTGTTCCTGATTTTGCAGCAAAACTGAACTTTCCAAGTTACCTCTACTTTGATTTTGAGAGCCCCTTCCTGCACTTGCATTTGCTCACCTGTCGGAATAATAATCATTTTAGGACCGATGAATAATAATTATTTTTCCTTTTCTATTTTACTTTAGGGTGTGACCTCTGCTCTCTGCTTTTCACCAAAATATCAATGGAGTAATTGTTTATGTGAGACATCAACGGGTCATTTTAAACCACACACCTAAGCAACAGTTATTTGTTGTTAATCATTACTGAGTATAAATATTAAAATCTGAACAGATTGTAACAACCTCGTTAAAGAGCGGAAAAAGATACAGACTGCCCCACATCTACGTGCATTCGTACCAGCACAGCTGGGATTCCATAATCAATGTTGGTCGCTTTGAATATATACTTTTCAAAGATATGGTTAGTACAGTACAGGAAATCACGTTGTTTATTACTAATTAATTAATTTAATTACGTGGAATCTTAGGTGGTAATGTACTTAGTCGTTGGTATTACGTTTTCACAACCGATGTAGTACACTATCATCAATTTTTCCAATACCCCGTGAATCATGCTTCTGTGTCTTCTAGTAAAGCTGGCGCAGTGCTTTATCTCGTGATGCTATAAAATATGAGTTACACAATAATTCACGAAAAGGAAAAGTTTAAAAATTCAACTATGGCCAATCGGTAGCTTGGATCTGATTCATCTGAATTGACAGGGCTAAGAGAATTCAGATTTTTATTTTATTTTTTTTCATTCTTTTTAGAAGGTAACGCTCTTGGGTTGAGATTCAAGATTCTTTTATTTATGGAGTTTTGATAACTTTGTTTAGTTTAATGTTGGTACTTTGAATCTTTCGATTTGACGACGTTTTTTTTTCCCCCTTGTACGTTATCGTAAGACAAAATAAATTTGAAGCTCTGTAACACTTCACGTTTGGGGTAACTTTATGTACTGTCTTTTGTATTATGATTTCTTCATACTTATAATATTGGAGAATGCAAGACCCAGTTAATCTTGTGTTTTTTAGAAAATAAAAATAAAAATTTCATGTATTTTTGCTCTACAGGTTCAGTTTTTACTTATTTATTTTTCTAAGAAACGATACGCTTTTAATTGTTTAGTTGCAAAGAGAAGTCACACTTGAACAGTAGTAAAGACATATACATGCTTACTTAATGATAGCCACAAAACCATTTGATTGACTCTGTATTTTTTTAGTTAAAACAGGTCATCCCCATTTTATTGCTGAAACGGAAGAGTACGTACAAAGAAATCCCCATTTTATAAGGACTGTTCTTCTATAGATAAGAATTTTTAATTCGTACAAAGGAAGTTAAAAAGAGAAGAAGGCCCAAGGACCAGGCAGATTGGCTCGATGATTCACCGGTGGGAGTAAAATCATGATTTGAGCATAATGTTATAGGTGTATCATATTTTCAGAATGTTTTAATTTCGACATAAGGCGTGAGCCTCTCTTTATTATATAAAAAAAAAAAAAAAAGCCCTTCTAATTCTTAAGTAGGGACAAGCTTGTTTATCAAGAATGAGTAATCACTTAGCAAAGGGCGATAAATCTGTGCATCGCTTGTATTCTCTAGATGTCCCATCCGAGGCGAGTTTTGCCAATTGATCAGCAACAACGTTTGCCTCTCTGTATATCTAGGTGACTCTATACCACATGCGATTTAAAATGTTCACTATTTTTTCGAACTCTTGGAAGTGTCTCTAGAGAAAATTGCTCCCTTCCTCTATCAAATCCACAATACGTTTATTGTCAGTCTGAATTTCAACATTTTCCAAATCCAACCTGTCACAACATTTTACACCGGAGAAAATACCCTGAATTTTGACTTCCAAGCTGTTTCTAATACTCTGTATTTCTTTTCTTTTTTAAGAGGATGGAGATAAAAATGTATGATTTTGATAAAAATTTACTATGTACATATATATTATAGAATATTATATGTGACATATATTGTAAAGATAAAGATAGAAATTATTATAATCTTTTTGAACTGAAACATATAGTGATTTCCAGCATCAACTATTCAAATAAGATATATCATATACTATCTAAACATACACATATATGTTGGTCCCCTAATGTTGAACTAATATTTTATTATTATTTTATAAATGTAGTAATGATAGATAAATTAAAATAAAAAATTAGTCAACTGAAATAATAAATCACATGACACAAGTAAATACCTTACACTATTGGATTTGCACGGCCTCCATAGTCAGAGTTGCAATTTTGGCCATTTTGATCACTATGCTAGTATCCTTGACACCTAATATTTTATTCCCCTTACCTAAGAAAATGCCAATGCATAGAACACCATAGATAAGGCCAACTGCCATAACGAAAGTGGTCATTAATCAGAAAAAAAAAAAGGCCAAATTTTTACTTCGTTAAGTGAATGTAAATGGATGGCCATCCATGTAATTTACCGTTAAATCTTTTTGGTCTTCTTCAAAATCTTTCATGATTGTGTTCGGTAAATTACCAAAATCTGTTATCTCTTGATTCCTATGAGTGGCGCTGCGTGTATAGCCAAGATCTCACCAAGAATTAATTCAACGCTTAATTAAATTTCCTTAATCAGATTCTTGTAATAAATCATTTTCAATGAATAAATATTCGTACTCTCTCTCTCTGTTTAGTGTTTGGGACTTTTCTTTTTTCTTTTTTTTTTTAATTAAAGAACAAAACACGCATGACAGAATTAATCAGACATACCAATTCTGTTTTAACATAGGACACATACATATATACTTGCCCTGAATAGGGGAAGAAAACAAACCGACCAACTTACAATTAAGTTTGTCTATTTTACAGCTAGTCTAAAGAAAGTAACTATTATCAAAATGAGAAATGGAAAATATTCAAACAAAGTCTCTCTCTGTCTCTCTCTCTCTCTAGCTTGCTAACTAACTAGAAACATCTGTTCTATTTAGACTTTAGGAGAAAATCTTCCATACAACTACTGTACCATGTAGGATTGTGCAGCCAAACACATGAATAGGGCAAGATTGTAATTTTATCGAAAAAGTTACCACAAAATTAGGGGTCCAAGATATTTTTCAATATAATGGGTGTGTTGTTGTACTAAAAAAGGAATACACTTGCTGTATGGAATAATTTTTCAAACTTTAGACCATTAATAGTTGATTTTGAAACATATGTTTTGTAGTAAGATGTAAGAAATTAGGGGCTTTAAAAAATTGTGGACTTAAGCCTAACTTAATTTCCTTGCTTTATGCAGCAGGAGCCGGCCATTAAATTTGGGATTGTCAAAAAAGTTCTCCCCATTTTCCTTTGTTGCAACCAATTTTGCTTCTACTTCCATCATGGAATTTGATTATATATATAATTATATGAATGAGAATAAGTTATGATTTTTAAATTAAAAACGAAATGTTTACAATCTAATCGATTGAACAATTTAGTCAAATAATATTATTCGTTAGATATAAAGATCCACTATAGTCTTAGTAGGATTAAATAAGACCCACCATATAATCTATAGAGTCCTAGAAACAGTATCATGTTTAAACTAACCGGCAACTTGTACAACAGATTGTCTCCATATCTATGCCATCTCTTACCAAATTCTCTTCATCTGACAAATATATGCATTTGATGACAGATGAAATCAATCTTTACAATCAGAAAATGGGGAGATCATGTATTTGAAGTTCATAAACTAAAAATTGAGAATACGTTGCTTCTGGCCCGAAATCTTATCTACGATCGATGTATCGATTTTTAAAATATGAATTCATGAAAATAGTTAAATGATATTGTGAATAAAATAAATTTTGAGGAAGAGAACTGCATCACTTCCTCTGTACCAAAATGCTTGTGCAGTTTAGTTTTTCTTCAATTTTAATATAATTTTAGCTAAAATTAAATTCGTACTAGATAATTATGTAGGAACAGAGTGAGTACATGATTAAAGCGTGTTAACTATTTGCGAGTTTAAGTGAATTTTGAATTTTCAGCTTAAGGTAGAGCTCCAACTCAAGTTTAATTTCGATCTATCCAAGTGACCTGATCAGCTGATCAGCTAGTTGTGCAAAACTCACAAATTTTGGAAAACAAAAAAATAAAAAATAAGAATTTCAAGGGAGGAAGCTACTTTGCTCTAAGCAATTGAGAAATCCATCATATAAAAGTAAAGGAGCAATGATACAGTGAGAAAAAATAGTGGAAATATATAGTGACTAATGTGTTTATAGTAATTAAGGGTAAAAGGGTAATTTTAGAAGGAAAGAAAAAATTTCAACGGCAAAGTGACAACAAAATAGGGGTACACATCCGTCACTATTTTTTTTTCTCACTATATTATTTCACTAAGAGTATAATTTTCCAAAGTAAAGATAATGAACTAGCGATAACGAAAATTTACTTGCAAATTCAGATATGCAATCTGCATGCCCTATACACTTCCAATATATTGGGGAGTGGGTGTTATTTTCTATCTTCTTAACATCGTAATAATGTTATGGTTCGTTTACGTTCATTAGGTGATGATGAGCTTTAGGATAGATAGACGGATGCTGTCCTCAATTTCTTCGTCGGTCATGCAAAATCCTTCTTTCATCTGTTAACAATGTCAAAATGTAACCAGTTAAGTAACATTATTAGGATCAAATTGTTAATTGCACTTCAACCATCCTAAAGTGCATGCTAGTTTGTTCTATCGGAAAGAGTAAATTAAATAAGATAATCATTTTGAAATAGAAAAAGTAATTTATTATTTTAGTCCTAAAAAAACTCACGTGCAAAATTTTTAGGTTCTTAGTGAAAAAGTAGTTCCTTGAGCATACATCGAAGGGTAATGATTCTAAAGTAGGATGGAGGCATATATGAGTCCTGAATTGGCATAAATTACAACATATCATCAATTTTGTGCTCCACATGTTCTACAATGACTGTTCCGTTTGTATTGTTTCTAGCACTTACAAGCAAAACAATACGGGATAGAGGGAATACTATGCACTATCTCCATAAGGTCAGTCTATTTCATACACTGAAGATGTACCTCAGCTGTCTCCAATTAAAACTAACAACCAACAATCAGAAATGCTTAATACATAGATATGAAACCCAAGCAATAACTTATAACGACAAAAAACGAGAGGAAATTGCCTAGTGAATAAATGAAGTGGTAAAATATATATAAGAAAGTTGTGCATAATTTCAAATCAAGTCAAATTATCAACCAAGTTTAAATAGAAAATTTATCTATGTTCGTAACGATAGCTAGTACCAAGCACGAAATGAATACTCCGTCGTGCCATCCAAAAATAAAAGTCTAGTTTGTTAAACTATTTTAACTATACAAATCATACTTTTATTTTAGGAAAGTGAAAGCGAGGTACGTGTTCCGGATGATTTCGAAATTTTACCTTAGCAAGTGCGGATAGAACAAGCTTGTTGTCTCCAAAGGGCATAAATCTAGAATTCGTGACACTTAAATTCAGGTTGTTCATCTCCCTCACAAAATCTTCCTCATGTAAGATGGTTCTGTCTTCGCATGTGACCCTAATCAACACATTTGGCTTCTCAACTTTTAGTTGGATATCATTCCATGAATGATCGATGCTGGTTCTTATGATTTGCTCAGTCTGTGATGAACAAGATAGATCTTGTTGTTCATCATGTTTCATCCTATGGTTATCCCAATCTGTAAGAGTCTTGAGTCGGTTTTTGAGTTGTTTCATGTGATCAATAGCGCCATCCATGATGGATATCTTGTTCATCTACGCAAATTCACACATTAATCCAAACATCAAGTGAGCCAAATTAAATCCTGTAGAAACATCATGCCTTGTAGAAAAATCTTGTATTTACTATGCTCATCCCAAATCAGCATTACAAAGAATTAATCATTGTTGTGCATCCGAGAATCAACACTGACATCTTCTTCTGCTAGTTTCTAACCACAACTTGCAGAAAATCCTATTACACCATGTTCAAATTTTGGAAGAATTAATTAGGAGTGTTTGAAATGGAGGCTATAGATAAATGTGGTTAAGTACTCATAGAATTATACATATAATGACAAAAGGAATATCAACTATTTTCTTTTCTCCTGACATATAGTGATAAAATTCATCTAGTGAAGAAAACTTGATTCATGTTCTCTCTATCCCGAAACGAGTGTTCTGTTAAAATTTTCACTTTCATTATAATTTGTACCAGAAATGAAAATCTAAACTAAACAATCACTTGTGGAAGGAGGGAGCTAATCATAAGTATATATGGATTCTGAGAACTCAAATATAAATATTTCTTTGTCAATTATCTGGAAGATTTACAAATTACCTAATCAAATATAAATATTTCTTTGTCAAACAATCAAATATATGGATGCGGAGACAATCCAAACAGGTAGATCGAAATGTTTAATTTCTTCAATGAAAAGGGGGAAAAAAAAAAAGAAGAAGAAAAAGAAAGCATTGAAATCAGTAGTAAGAGATAACACAGAAAAGGAGCATACATAACATATACATCAGTACCTTTGGAAGGCCAGGAACTAGAGCTGACAAAGAAATGAACTGCTGCACAAGCTTCTCCCGCCGTTTCCTTTCAGCCATCATATGATATTTTGCTTGTGTCGGTGTTCTAGTAAATCTACCACTTTTCTTAGTAGGTTGACCGTATTCTATAGAACCTTCAGAAGATGTAGGTTCCACGCATCCAAAATTTATCATTTGGCTCATCCCAACCTTATTTTCGGCGCCGGTCTTAACATCTGTCGATCTAGAGTTTGAAAACGAAATAAAGGGGATAGAAATCGGTGGAGTGCAGGAAGAAGAGGGCATTTTGCACAAGGTTTCAACATTCCGGCCGGTGGATCCGAAAGTCAAAGTAGATGGAGGACTAACATTGTCAAAATCATTTCTTTGCTCATAAGGTTCAGATGATGAGGTACTGAGTTCATTGGTACTGGGAAAATATTGGTAATTTTGGGGTTGATAATCTTGAGCTGAAGGCTTCATTTCCAAATGGTGTATGAGAGTTGGATCATTCATCATTTCCTACAAACATTTAATTTTAAAGGTAAAGAATATATGGTATACACTTTTGCACTAAGCATAATGGGGGGGAAAAAAAAAACCATATGAATTCTGGCGGCTTACAATTTAACGGGATTTTGTTCCCGGTTAAAGATCCACAATTAAACAATCACACATTAGCTATTAAGGGATCTGCAGAAAGAACAGGGAAAGAAACTTAAAAAAAAAAAAAAAAAACTATGTTAAATTAACTTGGATCTGTTTTATTTGTGAATTGGTTATCTACTTACCTCAAAATTGAAGAAGACGTAAGAAATCTCTGAAGGGTCACAATCAAAATACATTATTTTGCTACAATTTGTTGGCTTTTTCCTTCTTCTCCAAAACCCCGAGAATATAATTGAAGCAATAGAAAAGACCAGACAGGAAGAGAGAGGGAAACATAAACAATTCACGGTCAATACTCAATAGTGATTCCAGCTTTGATCTTTTTGAGGGTGACAATATATATGAAGTAACACAAAATATAGGTTCCATATTTTGCACGTTTTGAAGTTTGAACTTCTCAAAAGTCTTTCTTTCACGTAGCCCGTGTATTTAGAAGTACTTCCTTTCCGACAAGGTGAAGAAAATTTTACGTCCCCCGTTTTTTTTTTTTTCTTCTGTACTGTTTTGTGCTTCTTTTTTTCATTCATTTTGTTACAATCAACGAAGGAAACCAAGTCAGCGATTCAAATAGCAACTTAATAGGTGGGGCCAAAAAAATTTTATGCTGCTAGAGCAAAATGTTTTGCGTAATTCTATTCTTTGCCCCCCATTTTGCCAATTATCACTGTGAGAATCCTTGAAGGCCTTGTAAATTAATGTATTCTAAGTATAAAAATTACTCCATGAACCATGGTCTATAGTATAAAAATTGATGTATCTTCCCTCTTGTTTCAGAAGGAAACACTTGACTTGTCATTAGAACCTCCCATTTAGTAACGCAATATTTCAAAACTTTAATGACTGAAACTTGTCAAAAATAAAAATAAAAAATAAAAAAAATAACCCTTGTTCCACAGTAGTATAATACTATAATTAGTTCATTAAATAATTAATTCGTAACACTTGATTTCCATTCCAGAAAATGATTGAGGTTGCAAAGATAAATTTGTTCCAACGAATAATCCAGCTTATGAAAGTAAAAATTAATTAGTTTCACAAAACCGATTCTTTATTCTCATAATTAAGATAGAGATTAATCACTACATATTTTGTTCCAGATACAAACTGCAAAGTACATATGAACACAAATTCAAATTTGAGTATAATTGAGGTTTTTACCATGATTGAACTTGAAATCAAAAAGTTTATTTTTACCATGTGGGTTACCTTTCAGAAAAGGATGAAACAATTCTGTAAGTCCTCGTGATACATTAACTATTCTCTTTAGAAACTTTTTTGGTCTTCATTTTATTCTACATGATATTTCTTTATTAATAATGGACCTGAAGTAATTAATCGCCCTTTTCCTAATGTACTATCAGGCAGTCCTTTCACTTGCACGTTTTGTGTGCGTTTCTGGTCATCTTCACCGCCTAACGCATATATATCTGGACTAGAGTATTATATTAATTGCCGGAAAGGGACGTTATTGTTCAACATTAAAATGCAAGAGTAACGAAACTAATAATATGGAAGAGGTTGCTCCAATATATGTATATATATGTACATTTATTAAGCGTTGCAAGAAAGAATATTTACAGAATATAAAAGGTTAATATGTATCGCATCAATTAGTCATAAAGGCATTGTTAATTTAGTTGATACAAATACTGAATTGAAAATCATTTTATTTTGTATGAAAAAAATTTAACGAAAGAGGAAATATACTTAATTAACACCATAAATGCGAAACATTTATATTTCATGTTTGATATATTCCAGATATTTATTTTTTTCTTCCGGATGAATTTCAAAGGCATGCAACCGCTTCTAGGATATGGAACGGAAAATATCAAATGCAGTAGTTAATTTTGAACAATATCAATTTAGGATATATGTTCAAGAGAGGTATAATTCTCAGAATTGAGTGAACTGTTTTTTTAAGGGTGAATGAGTACATATGTCCCAAATTTCTTACATGAGATAGAAGGAGTTCTTACATGAGATTTTCTAAGTGGAAAGTTACTAGAGAAATGAAAGTTTATATTCCTTCACAAGTTTCCACATTTTAGTACTTTTTATGTTCCAAAAAATAGTTTACATTTAATTTGAAAATTTGAATAAAAAATATATAAAATTTAAAACTCAATATATATTATTTATTTTGGACGGAGGGGTAACATAAACATCATTTTCACAAAAATAATGCTTCACAAAGTTTCAAAGAATTTGAAGTTGTTTTTTTAGGTAAGGTGAAACCAATCTTAATTTGGGGCTAAATAACAGTTTGAAACCTAATACTGTAAGAGTTTGTCACCGCCCGTGACTAGTCACAAGAATCAGAATAAATCCTGAGGACTGGGCATCGGTTGGTAGCTTACCAAGATTTCCAAATATGATTTTCAAAATATTATATAATCAGAACATAACTTGAACTAAGAAACATACAACTATACAAAATACAACTATAGAAAATACAAAACAAAACAAAACAACATCTAAAAGTGATTGATAGGCTTAAGTCTTTGAACAAATGAGTCATTTATTTAATTTCGTGCATGGAAAAAAAGTAATTTGAGCATTACACCCTAAAATAAATTTTGTTTCCTCTTGTCCAGATTGAACTGTTTACAATACATTATTCTCATACTTTTGAAACAGAAAAAATATAGGTGGATTGATTATTCTTCCTTCTTACTTTTAGGGTCTGGTCAAGCCCCGGCATTATTGGGTTTCCATGATCACTGTTGGTAGTTTTAACATGTTTTTTTTAAAAAAAATAAAAAAATACAGGAAATCACGATCTTGATTAATTTAAGTACTTGGAATATGAACTATACAATAATCAAGGTTTTCTCTCTCCCCAATACACCATGACTCATGCCTGCGTATCTTCTGGGTCGTGATGTCGTAAAATAAGTTAAAAAACATAATTTTTGAAATAGAAAAATGGTACAGCGCGAGATACTTATATTGGTTCAGAATTTAAAATTATGTACCGTCCAGCGAGTGTATTAACCACAAAAATTTTTGTGAATAGTGCCTTGCCGAGCTACGTACGAGTATGTGAACCATAATAATGTAAACAAAACGAATTTGTTTTACACAGTAGATTAATGAAACAGAAGAAAAAGGGGAAAGTATTGTATTCGTACCCGGAGGATGTGGGAAAGGTTTACATTTGGTCTGTCAATATCAGTGCAATTTTAACAAATGAAAGCAAATTGTCGGTTACACTCATTAAAAAGATGGAAAAATTCTTATTAAGGGAGTTGTATATTTTAATATTCCTAAAAAAATATTGTACACATTTCTTTTTTTCGTTTGATCATTGATTGATGTCTGTTTGGTACAAACCAACTAAGAGCAATCAAATCAATCATTATCAAACCAGGTCCAATCAAACTGATAATTTTCACACAATATCATTGTGAGCTAGTAGGACTGTAGGATCCAAGTAGAAAATGGGACTATTTAACTTTAAAAAGGAAACTATTTAGAACAATTTTTAAACTTTACCTTGGCAACTGTTATCTCCAAAAGCCATACGTCTAAAGTTTGCTGTTGGTAAAAGTATAGAAAAGCGTTTGTAATGACATCAACAATCCAAGAAATATTCTCTCTGTCCCAAAATTATTGTCCAGTTTGAGATTTCACTTTTAGTACAATTTGAACTAGAAATGAAAACTCAAACTGAACAATAATTCTAAGAATTCAGTATATTTTCTGTATCTTCCAAACGGTGCTATAAACAAACTGACGATAATTGTTGCTAATAATTTTCATTTGTGTTATACGTAACACATATATCATGTATGTTTCAATACATGTCATCTATCAGTAGAGGTACAAATTACTTGATCAAATATAATATTATCCATATTTCGCCCTCAAAATCACGGATGCCAACGTAATCAGCAAATCTTCAAAGATTTACAGGTTTTATTTGGGAGATTTTATTATTCTGGTGGTTGTTAATTTTTAGCTTTAAATATTCAAATTTCAAATCTATGATATGATTAGATTTATATTTGTATCTATCTGTATAGTAGGCTAATATCTTCCCTATATAAAGAGGGCTCTCCAACAAAGGAAATACATCTCTTTTTCACCGAAATCTCAGTTCTCCTTTTCCACAGAAATCTTTTATTTCTTTTAATGATAAAATCTCTGATTTTAACAACAGAATATATGGGTGTGAAGACAATCAAACACTTAGGTCCAAACGTTTTCTTCAAAGAAAGAAACAAGACAGGATTAAAATTAAAAGAGGGACATTTTGAAAATGAGCATAACTTATATGTAGATCAGGCAGTACCTAATAAGTTTTGAAGGCCAGGAACTAGAGTTGACAAAGCAATGAACTGCTGCAACAGATTCTTCCGCCATTTCCTTTCAACCACCATATGATATTTTTCTTGTGTGGGTGTTTTAGTAAATCCACCGCCTTTCTTCCTAGGTGAAGAAGAATAGTGTGACTTCAGATGGAAATAACAAGATCTTGCCAGGTTTCAAACACAAGACCTTCTGCTTGTTTAAAGATCGGGAAAGAAGCTGTCAGGAAGCTTCTAATTCGAGTCCTCAAGTTGTAAATAAGTAGTAGTTGAGTCAGTTACTCGTTTTCTATATACATGTGTACACAGCAACATGATGTATTAGGATGAGTTCATATAAAAAATAAAATTCTTGTTTTCAAGTAAAAAAGAGAGAAGGCTCTCTCGAAGGTTCTGTTTTTCCTGCTCTTTTAGTTCTTCCAATTCGTAAAGTTCCTTGATGAATCTTGATCTTTTTCTCTCTGATCATGGATAATTCTCACTGTTTCTTGATGGTATCAGAGCAGATTTGATCCTGCTCTGTTATTCTGCTGCAACAGAACTCTGATAATTGTTTCTGAAGTAAGCTTGAATTTGGGAAAAATCAAACCCTAGCTATTTCTTCTTAGTCTTTCAGTTGATTGACTAGCGAAATTTGTGACAAAGTAAAGTTTTAGAGCTGAATCGGAAAGATGAATGAAGCTATGTTAATGCGAGAGGCGATGAATGAAGAAACCAGACGAGAATTGGATGCTTTGATCGAAGAACAATTGCAGGTCAATGGATCAGAAAATCCAGGTACTTCTCTCGTTTCCGTGCTACGAATGACAAGAAGTATCTAATTTGGAAGAATGCTATGATTCCAGCACTCCAGGCGAAGACGAAACTAGGTTTTGTAGATGGATCCTTTCCAAGACCCGCCTGAAGGTACCTTGAAGTGTATTCGCTAGGATCGTGCAAACAGTATGGTTTCCTCTTGGATCAAGAGCTCCATTTCAGTGGAAATCGTTAACATGTTTATGTTTGTGCATGATTCGAGAATTCTGTGGAAACAATTGGAAAAGAGATATGGAACAACCACTGCATCGCAACTGTTTGAACTGAAGCATCAGAAGACATTGACTAAGCAAGGAAGTTCATCAATATCAAACTATTATGGAAGACTGAAACAAC